ACACACACAGACACACACAGACACACACACAGACACACACACACACACAGACACACACACAGACACACACACAGATACACACGCACACACACAGATACACACACAGACACACACACGCTTTTTAACCAAAGCATCTTACAGTGAATTCAAGGTACACATTCGATCAGTTCATGGGTCAAAGACGAAACATCTGCATCAAATCAAATTTACAAAAGTGATTTTATATACATAAAAAGCATGTAAGTCAAGTGCATTTAATATTTCCAATAACTTTTGTGAAAATGAAAATGTCAAAATATGGGTGAAATAATGTTGCATCGTCATTCAGCATAACAGATAAATGTGACCCCGGAACACAAAACCAGTCATAAGGGTCAATTTTGTGAAATTGAGATTTATGCATCATCTGAAAGCTGAATAAATAAGCTTCCATTGATGTATGGTTTGTTATGATAGGACAATATTTGAAAATCTGGAATCTGAGGGTGCAAAAAAATCTAAATATAGAGAAAATCATCTTTAAAGTTGTTCAAATTAAGTTCTTAGTGATGCATATTACTAATCAAAAATTAAGTTTTGATATATTTACGGTAGGAAATTTACAAAATATCTTCATGGAACATGATCTTTACTTAATATCCTAATGATTTTTGGCATAAAAGAATAATTTTGACCCATACAATGTATTGTTGGCTATTGCTACAAATATACCCCAGCGACTTAACACTGCTTTTGTGCTCCAGAGTCAGGAATAGAATCTTTTAATGACATCTAATGATAAAGTTGACAATATTTTTTGTTACATTACTTATTATTACACTGAATGGTGTTTTTTGTAAATCATGGTAAAAATGGATGATAGTCATTATTTTTTGCTGGACACAAGGACACATCCTAATGTACAGAAAAAAATGTAAAGCTATTTTTTTAAATCACACTTTTATTGTTTTGATGCTTGAAAAGCCCTTTTCGTCTTTGATCCTCATGCATTCTCCGGGAATCTGTCTTCATGTTCATCATTTCTTCAGATTTTGTTGTCATTCATGCATTTGATGTATTTGGCAGATGCTTTATGTTTTATCCAGAGCTGATCCTGATCATGAGATCATGAGACTAACGCTGTGACAGACTCACATTCAGCGAGGCTCCCCATCAGCGGCGTCCCCACACCGTCTCGAGCGTACCTGCGGTGCAATCACATCATCATCATCATCATCTCTACAGGAGTTCAGCAGCAAGTATTGTAGAAGATTTTTATTGATCAATATGTGAATTAATATCAATGTGGATATAGCCATTTATGGATCAAGAAGTTATTCTACTATTATAATCATGTATTTGCCTGTGTGTCTAGAGGCCTGCACAACATGACAAAAATACAGTATATGCTGAAGCTGCAGACAAAATATATGATGAGGCCTCCTGTCTACTGCCTAAAACAAAAGGTAAACAATAATGACTATGTATGAACACGCCCTGAAGAAAAACTGTATAAATCTATAGATTCTCTTCAGAGTCTCTCGGCTGTATGTGACCCTGCAGCACAAAAGCAGTGTTAAGTCGCTGGGGTATATTTGTAGCAATAGCCAACAATACATTGTATGGGTCAAAATTATACATTTCTCTTTTATGCCAAAAATCATTAGGATATTAAGTAAAGATCATGTTCCATGAAGATATTTTGTATCAATGGAAAGATTATTTATTGTTTATGTATAAATCTCAATATCATAAAATTGACCCGTATGACTGGTTTTGTGCTCCAGGGTCACTTATAATCTATGATAATAACATCTAAGGAGCAAGAGGGTGGAAGACTACTTTTGGGCTGACTTGACAAGCACACAAACCGTGGCCACTAAAGGTAAGCAGTTTCTGCTTGTATAATTAGTTTGTGTTGTTCGCCAGAGTCTGCTCGTGGTGGTAAAGACACTCAAAAATGCTCCTCCAAATTTAAAGAACATGAAGAAAAAAGGTGTTTTGAGTCCAGAAGAAATAGCTGCATGCAATGATCTGTGTTTATTGTTATAAGTGGGCCTTGAGGATAGCAATAAACATTAAGCAGATAAAGTATAGGTAAGCTGCAAGTGTCTGACCGGGCCGTGTGGATGTAGTTGAGCAGCACTGATGTTCCCTGCAGCAGAAGCGCGGTGGATAACACCTTCAGCACCGTGTGCATGGGTCCGGCTTTGCTCAGCGCCTGCCACAGCGGCTGTATGTAGATACACGACGCCACGAAATACGCCAGGATCAGGATGAAGTAGAAGCTGTGGAGCCCTGTGAGGAACATATTCATTCAAATCAACTCACCTCTATTTATAAAGCGCTTTTAACAATACAGACTGTGCCAAAGCAGCTTTACAGCATTAAATGTGACCCTGGAGCACAAAACCAGTCGTAAGGGTCAATTTTGTGAAATTGAGATGTATGCATCATCTGAAAGCTGAATAAATAATCTTTCCATTGATGTATGGTTTGTTAGGATCGGACAATATTTGGCTGAGATACAACTATTTGAAAATCTGGAATCTGAGGGTGCAAAAAAATCTAAATATTGAGAAAATCATCTTTAAAGTTGTTCAAATGAAGTTCTTAGCAATGCATATTACTAATCAAACATTAAGTTTTGATATATTTACGGTAGGAGATTTACTAAATATCTTCATGGAACATAATCTTTACTTAAAGGAACACTCCACTATTTTTGAAAATAGGCTGATTGGAAGTTACCTAGCTGGGGACTATTTTCAGGCGCTGCGTAATATAATTGTGCCTGCTGCACACATGGTACGGCAGCAAAGTTCCTTGATTATTACGCCGGAATGAGAGTATAGTTCCTAGCCATATCGGCCTAGAAAATCGCAACTTTTCATTTTCCGTCAGTCTTAGTACACGATGTAGCTACAGAAGAGTCAAGATTTAAATAGACATATTTTTTGTACTAGAAATGTATGCAAATTAGCACGTATTTCATTAAATAATGCCTCATTTGCATATTTAAAAATAAACTTGTAATACACAAATGTTTGCAATTATAAATGTAATCAATCAACTGGGTAATTAATGCGATAACTATGTTATTTTTTACTCTATTCACCTGTGCTGTCTTGCCTTAAAGGGACAGTTCGCCCCAAAATTCACAATTTTATCATCATTTACTCGCCCTCAAGTTGTTCCAAACCTGTACGAGTTTCTTTATTTAGTGTAACATTAAAGAAGAAGATATCTTGAAGAATGTTGGTAACCAAACAGATGCTGGCACCCATCGACTTCCATAGTAGGGGAAAAAATATTATGAAAGTCAATGGCTACCGGCAACTGTTTGGTTCCCAACTTTCTTCAAAATACCTTCTTTTCCGTTCATCAGGAAAAAAAAAACTCATACAGGTTTGGAACAACTGTAAATAAAGACAGAATTGTAATTTTTGGGTGACCGAAATATGTGTTTCCTCCAGCAGCAGATATATTACTGTAATATTGATCAACAAATTACATTACTGAATACTTTATCCATCATTAAGAGAGCAGGATTGGTTTGAGCAGCATGCAAACATCAGAATATTGAACAGAAGATTCTAGACAAACGTCTAGGGTTGGGTATTGATTTAATTTTATCAATTCCGAGTTCGGATTCCAATGTGGTTAAAAAAAATAAGTCAATCATTTAGATATCAAGCATATTTATTCTGTGTCTCTTTTTGCAAAACATTTAATTGCTGCTGAATACCAAGAACAAAAATCAGCCGGCTGCATAAAAACTGGTTCTCATTACTGGATGAATCAGTGTTTTTGAATGAATATCTTGAATGAACGATTCAATGACTCACTCAAGATTTACTTGAGTCATTACTGGATGAATCAGTGTTTTTGAATGAATATCTTGAATGAACGATTCAATGACTCACTCAAGATTTACTTGATTCATTACTGGATGATTCAGTGTTTTTGAATGAATCTCTTGAATGAATGATTCAATGACTCACTCAAGATTTACTTGATTCATTACTGGATGATTCAGTGTTTTTGAATGAATCTCTTGAATGAATGATTCAATGACTCACTCAAGATTTACTTGATTCATTACTGGATGATTCAGTGTTTTTGAATGAATCTCTTGAATGAATGATTCAATGACTCACTCAAGATTTACTTGATTCATTACTGGATGATTCAGTGTTTTTGAATGAATCTCTTGAATGAATGATTCAATGACTCACTCAAGATTTACTTGATTCATTACTGGATGATTCAGTGTTTTTGAATGAATGATTCAAAGACAAATACATTTTTAACAGCCCCCTTTCGCCAGCTAAAACACAGGAATTGATGGGTGGAATTGAAATGTAAATTTTACAACAAGTATCCGATTCTGGAATTGAAATTTATTTTCTATTCCCAACCCTACAAACGTCCTGATAAGAAGCTAAGCGGCTGCGTGACGTGTCTGTGCATGCCCAGTCTGGGGTCAAAGTTCACACGTGTCATGTAGAAATGACATGTCGCACTGAAGATAACCTGTAAAAGCGGTCTGAGACGTGAAGGAGTCTTACTGGAGATGTGAGCCGATGTGAGTCTCTCCAGACAGCTCAGATTGTCCAAGCCCTCCGAGCCCTGAAACAGCAGCAGTCTGGCCTCCTTCTGCACGGCCAACAGCACATTATCCACACGATACGCCACCAGACCATTCTCACCTATCAAATATCATAATGCATATGTACAGTAAGTCAAATCAGACTGACACCCATATGATCAGTCACAACATCAGCAATATTCCTGCATTCTGCATGCATGCATGCGAGCAAAAAAACAAAAATGCATGGAAGCAAATGCATGATGTCAATGCATAAATGCAGTTTAATATCAGACACTCACCATGATACAGAAATCTTGTGATGTACTGCCCATTATTTTCTCTCGCGGCGTCGCTCCTAAAAACCCCAGAAACCGTTTTCCCTGCTGCAGGACATGAAGTAAACAAAAGAACAATGAGAATGATAAAATACACAAACATTATGCTCTTATGCTCTTCATTCACTGCAGTCAATGAGGTAATACTGTCCTTTTCCGCCCACTTTGTGATCGACGTCTGCTACATCCAATCGGAATACGGGTTTTCGTTCTAGCGCAGTAAAGCGACCAATGAGAGCGCGGCGGAGGCGGGGCGAGAGTCGGCTCATACGTGTCACCGCTGCCGCAAACCGCTGCTCCAACTGTCGTGAGGAGTGTTTACGAAGCGACTTAAAATCATGTAATAACTTCTTGGAGTCAAAGAAATGATCTACAGTCTGGAGGAAACATGGAGATCCAGGTGAAGATGAGCGGCAGAGAGTGTCGCACTGTGCTGGTGACCGGAGGAGCGGGATTTATGTGAGTGTCAAAAAATATCAAAATACATCTGAACCCTTCAAATGACTGAATGTCACCGCTTTAGACAACCGAGTATCAAATTAAGGGTCATTTATTGTGAAAAACATCTGACAAGTCTGAGATGCTGAATCAATAGATGTAGTGTTTTGGCTTTGTCCCAATACACACACTTGCGCACTTGTCTACTAGCATGACAAATGGAGTTCATTAACGACACTAACAACACTGTTATTGAGCTGAACTGAATAATGGCACTGTTGTCTTCAGCGCTGCCAACTCATTTTCAGGGGAAGTTGCTAAAGGAAGGTAGATTTGTTGCTAAATGGCGCTGTGACGTCATTGCGCGATGACGTCATCGCGTAATCACGACGCAAAATTGTCAACATCAAATCTCAGCAAAAAATATATTTGTTAATTTTTTAAAAACATTGAAGTATTGAACACTTACACAATTTTGAATGATTACAATTTAGTTTTTTTAATAGCTAGTAAACTTGTAATACTACACATACTCAACAATTATGCTTTAAGCAGTGTATTAGTAGTTAGTTAGTATGCTACACTCTAAGAAAAGTCTGTAAACATAGGGCACAATCTACTTTAGTAATATGAAAGAATTTTACGTATTGGAAAATGTTACCTGCATTTTAAATTACGCATTGTGTTTTCAGGTTACAGTGGATAATGTCCTGGAAAATTACTAGTATCTTTTCCATTTTACTTACAGTGTACTAACTGATCAACAATCGCAGGTACAAGCTACTAACAAAGTGCATCATAAATGAACCATTATTACATTATTATTATTATTATTAAATGTAACGGTTGCAAACAGCAGCTAACTCGGTTCACGTGATGTGTTTACTGCGAGGCATCTTTTTGTGTGATTTGGATGAAAATGTGCCTTTTTATTGTCTGAGTCACTTATCAAAAGTTGCTAAAAGTTGCCAAATACATTTTTTAAATTGCTACATTTGTTGCTTTGGAAGAAACAGTTGCTAGGGTGGTCTGAAAAGGTGCTACAATTAGCAACAAAATTGCTAAGTTGGCAACACTGGTTGTCTTGTGTAGAGCTGCTGTACTGATGAAGTTACTAGTGTACTTTCACTTACTCAAGTGGTCAAGAGCGCAGTGTGAGTATATTGGGACAGACCCGGTGGGGGATGCTGATAGCGAACTGCTGCGTCAGAAATCACATAGTTCCCATCACATACTTCACATAGTATACAGTAGGCATAAAATAGTATGAGAACAGAGTAGTGTGTCAAATTCACAGTATTCATAATCAGTGTTGGGGGCAACACCTTACAAGTAACATAATCAGATTACTTTTTTTAAGTAACTAGTAAAGTAACGCGTTACTTTTTAATTTAGAAGGAAATATCGGAGTTACTTTTTGAAATGAGTAACAGCAGTTACTTTGTTTCCATGTGTTGAGTGACAGCTCTGGTGTTGCCATGGTGACAGAAATCAGGAGTAAGTGCAGAGCGTTGTGTGTGAACATGATCTTACTGTAGTTCTAGACTAAATATCAACATGTGTGACAGTTTAACAGATATTCACATAGAAAACAGTTATTTTAAATAATAAAAATATTTCACAATTTTGCTGCTTTTGCTGTATTTTGGATCAAATTAATGCATGCTTGGTGAGCAGAAGAGACTTCTTTAAAAAACATTACACAATTTTACTGTTCAAAAACTGGTTGTGTATGTAGAATGACTTATTCAACAGAAGTAGCTACTCGGAGAGTATGTGGTTTGCTGATTCAAACACACTGAGAGACTTGTGTCCAAATACTTATTTGTGTTTGTGTGCGCTGTATACTGAGCTTATATTTGTGTTCTCAGTGGATCTCATTTGATCAGCGCTCTGGCCGTCAGATTCCCACACTGGAGAATCCTCACCGTTGATAATGTGAGTCTCTGAACAGCATTGAGTCAGTGTTTTCCCTTCATGAAGCGTCACGCGTCTCTGTACTGTGTTTCAGCTGCAGTACTGCTCCAGTCTGAAGAACCTGCGCTCTGTGGAGGCCAGCAGCAAATACACCTTCATCCCGGTATTACTCCATTACTTGAGTCAAAGTACAGATACTATAGATACAATATTGTGTCTAATATATATCACAATATTGACTTCTTATTATTGAGTTGTTGTAAATGAAAAAAAATGCTGGGAAAACACTTCACGTTGCCCTACAATAGTGATAGACTGTCTGAAAAAAAAAGTCACCCGCTGACTTTCAAAGCTGCTACATCGTAACAAACAGTGTTGGGGAAAGTTACTTTTAAAAGTAATGCGTTACAATGTTGCGTTACTCCATAAAAAAGTAACTAATTATGTTACTTAGTTACTTTTTATGGAAAGTAATGCGTTACGTTACTTTTTAAATCTGGGCAGGGCTTGCTTGTTTGTTTTTAATATAAGTTTTTTAATGCATTTAATTATTGCAGGATTGTATAATATTCTGAGCTTGTATTTGACAGTTTTTATTGATTGTGAGGAACACTGAATGTGTTTGTGTGCAGTGAGATGAGTAAACACATGTTGATATTTAGTCTAGAACTACAGTAAGATCATGTTCACACACAACGCTCTGCACTTACTCCTGATTTCTGTCACCATGGCAACACCAGAGCTGTCACTCAACACATGGAAACAAAGTAACTGCTGTTACTCATTTCAAAAAGTAACGCAGATATTTCCTTCTAAATTAAAAAAGTAACACGTTACTTTACTAGTTACTTGAAAAATGTAATCTGATTACGTAACACAACACGTAACGACTTTCTTCTTCCAGGACCTTGATAGAAATGTAGTGGAGTGAAAAGTAAGATATTTGCCTTTCAAATGTAGTGAAGTTAAAGTCACAAGTTGCCAGAAAGAAATAATACTCAAGTAACGTACAGATACTCAAAAAGTACAATACTCAAGTAAATGTACTTCGTTACTGTCCACCTCTGCAACTAACCTAATTATCACTGCAGTTATGTCGAGCTGAGCCACAGCTGATGAACTGTGTTCTCCTCGCAGGGCGATGTTTGCGATCCAATTCTCATAAAGCGTCTCTTTGCGACGGAGAAGATTGATATAGTGTTTCACTGCGCTGCTGAAACTCATGTGGGTGAGTAAACGCTGTCCGTTCACCATCAACTCTGTGTTTCTCTCTAGAAGACGGCGTGTGTCATTCACGTGTTTATCTCATGTAGAGAACTCGTTCCTGTGTCCGTCACGCTTCATGCGTGTGAATGCAGACGGCACTGGTGTTCTGATCAGAGCGGCGTTTGAGGCGCGAGTGCGGCGCTTCATCTACATCAGCACTGATGAGGTGTATGGAGACAGTCTGGAGCAGGTGAGGTCAAGCTAGGGTTCAAGTCTGAATCATTTGAACCAAAACGATTCACTGTTTCAAATCGCTTGAAATGATGCTGGGGATACTTGCTGGTCAAAAACCTGCATAAAAGCACATTTTACAAACCAATTGCAGATGTTTTATTGAAAGTGTAATCTATGCAATCTGTGTAATAGATGTCAAATGCTGTTAAATGTGTCCCTGCAGCACAAAAGCAGTGTTAAGTCGCTGGGGTATATTTGTAGCAATAGCCAACAATACATTGTATGGGTCAAAATTATACATTTTTCTTTGATGCCAAAAATCATTAGGATATTAAGTAAAGATCATGTTCCATGAAGATATTTTGTAAATGTCCTACCGTAAATATATCAAAACTTAATTTTTGATTAGTAATATGCATTGCTAAGAACTTCATTTGAACAACTTTAAAGATGATTTTCTCAATATTTAGATTTTTTTGCACCCTCAGATTCCAGATTTTCAAATAGTTGTATCTCAGCCAAATATTGTCCTATCCTAACAAACCATACATCAATGGAAGCTTATTTATTTCATAAAACTGACCCTTGTGACTGGTTTTGTGGTCCAGGGTCACAAATATGAAGTGTCTAAAATAACTCTGTTTAAATAGCAGAGCTTGTTTTGTTTGTTTTTAATGGAGAGTTTAGTTAATCGGACCAATAAGAGACTAATAACTTCAACTCTTCAACTCAACAAATGTGGCATTAAAAATATCTACAAATGTATAAAACTGATCTGAGATCAGGTAAAAATTCTATATAGACACTGGTTCATGAGTTCACAGAACCACTGAAATTCTGCAGTAACAAAGCCTCGTTTACTGAAGTGACTTTAATACACGCTCCGAACAAATGATTCCCAATGGTTTTGAAGCTTCATGAAGCAGTGTTTGGAAAGCGTGCATCACTAGTTCTAGTTTTGGAGTGCATGAACCCATCATGAGAAAGACTAACCAGCCATCTCCTGTTGATCTGTTTAGTTCAGCAGTATTTTGATGTCAGCTGAAGTGTGTGATCTGGATCTTGTTTTCACAGCCGTTTGATGAACTGAGTCCAAAAAGACCCACCAATCCATACTCAGCCTCAAAAGCTGCGGCAGAAAACATCGTGATGTCGTACTGGATGAAGCACAAGGTATCAGTCATGACATTATACCCGTTATATCTTTTACATTTTACTTTCAGTGTTTTGTAATTCCCATTATTTTTAGTGCTAATTCTCATTAGATTATACATGACTATAATGTGGTAAGAACAATGCATTTTATATCTCATAGTTTTTCCTTTTTTCTCTGAATTCTGAGTTTGCATCTGACAGTAGTTTTTTTTTTCTGGCATGGAATAAAAAATAAAAAAGGTAATTGCAACTTTTTATCTCACAATTCTGACTTTTTCACAGAATTGAAAGTTTATCTCGCTATTCTGAGTTTATATCTCACAAAAAAGTCTGAATTGAGATATAAACTCTATCAAAAAATGTCAGAATTGTGAGATATAAGCTCATAATTACAAGATATAAACTGTGATATAAAATTGTGAGATAAGTCACTATTACTTAATTTTTTTATCCTGTGGAAACAAGCTTCCATAAGTACTGCTCATACTTCCATAATGTATAAACACTTTCAAATTGAATGTTGTGAAATGATCTAGATTGTATTCTCTCTGATCTGTCCGCTGTAGTTTCCTGTTCTGATCACGAGGAGCAGTAACGTCTATGGCCCACACCAGCATCACGAGAAGGTGCATGATCAGCAGCTCTACACGCGTGTTTGACCGTCACATGACCTCAGCGCTTCATTAGTGTGTGCTTGTGTTTGTTCAGGTCATTCCCAGATTCCTGTCGCTCATCCAGCGGGATCAGAAGTGGTGAGTGTCTCTGACTGACCAGAGCGCGTGTGTGTGTGTGTGTGTGTGTGTGTGTGTGTGTGAGTGTATGTGAGTGTTTGTGTGTGCGTGTGCGCGTGTGTGTGTGTGTAAACTAAATATATTTCAAATATCTTGCTATGTTTGGTGCATTTTGTGTACTGTAACCTATTTTTTTTATCTTAAATTTAAATTTTTGAATGTATCTTTAGTTGTTTGCTCTGTATTATGTGTTGGTGAGGTGGTGAGGTTTTGTAATGCTGGGAGTGTTTTTTTTAGTCTGTCAACTGAAGCCATATGGTTTCCATCAGGTCCTCCCTTCAACTTCTATGTCTCCCTTGCAGTGCTCAGGTCGATATCAGCCTCCATAAATCAGGGGTCATTTCCCCACAGCAAGCCTTAATTAATAAAAGTAGGCTTGGGGTTCGTTTAGATTTATTTAGTTCATTGCTAGCAGTTCGAGGCAGTAGCAGGGCGCTTTAGATGGTTCTGAATGTTCTGGCTCTGTGGGCAGTCACCCAGAACCAAAGGGCATGCTGGGATAGCATTGTAAAACAGGTCAGTGAAGCCTGATGATGGTCAGGATTTATGAGCAGACACAAAAACTCCTCATAAATAATTCCCTGGTCTTTCTGTGTTTCTGCTGGGCCTTCACTAACGATTATGAGGAAACTATCTTTACCCTGCAAACACATATATGTATATATATATACATAAATATACACAGCACACATATATTATGTAAACAAAAACTTGTATTTAGGATGCGATCACCTGCGTCTGAGACACATTTACTCAATCTCATGTTGACTTTCTGCCGTGGAACAAAAACTGAGATATTTAGCAGAATGTTCACGCTGCTTTCGTACACAAAGTATTCGTGAGGTTATTTTGATCTGTGACAGAAATGAATACTTCTATTCATCAAGGCTGCATTAAATTGATCAAAAGTGCCAGTAAAGACATTTATAATGTTACAAAAGATTTCTATTTCAAATAAATGCTGTTCTTATGTACTTTCTATTCATCTGTGAATCCTGAAAAATAAAATATATCACAGTTTCCACAAAAATATTGAACTGTTTTCAACATTGATAATAATCAGAAATGTTTGTTGAGCAGCAAATCAGCATATTAGAATGATTTCTGAAGATCATGTGACACTGAAGACTGGAGTAATGATGCTGAAAATACAGCTGCGCATCACAGGAATACATTATAGTTTAACAGAGATTCACAAAGACAACAGCTGTTTTACATTGTAATACTACTTCACAATATTAGAGTGTTATTCATCTGAATGCTGTGTTTGTGTGCAGTTACTGGCTCCTGATATCCGTCACGAGAGGAACGTGGTTCTCCAGTACGTCCGCTTCATCGTCCGCAGCGGGTTCTTCGGTCTGGCTGCTCAAGACTCTCGTGAGATCAGTGTGTCTGTGAACACAAGCGATGAGGACGTCAGTAGAGACGGAGATCCTCAGACAGACGGCCTGATGGACCGATCACCAGAGAAACGCTCCGAGAGCAGCTGTGACACGAGCGCTGGAGAAAACACGTGTGTGAAGGAGAGGCCCAGTGTGTTCCAGCAGCTGTTTGCTCAGCGTTTAGTGTGTGAGGAGTCTGAGGAAACCCCCTCCTGATGTGTGACGGGAATCAGATCAGATGAATTCACTGTGCTCACCTGAGCATCACACCTGAGCAGATGAGGGACCAGACTCTTCACACACACACACGACTGATGGTTCACCTCAGGAGAAGAACATCTGAGAACGTCCAGTGACTTTAAAACTAAATCCAGTGGAAGCAAAGACAATCAAACGTTTACATTTTTTTTTCACTTTTTTTGTTTTGTTTACTAATCATATGTTTGGTCTCTCAAAAGAAAAGACTCTATTGCTGTCAAACAATTAATCGCACCCAAAATAAATGTTTTTGTTTACATAATATACTGTATGTGTGTGTACTGTGTATATTTATTATGTATATATAAATACACACACATACAGTATATATTTAAGAAAATGTTACATTTTGTATATTAAATATATTTATATACAATAGAAATATATATATATATATATTTAGTGCTGTCAAACGATTAATCGCGATTAATCGCATCCTAAATCAAAGTTTTTGTTTACATAGTGTTTGTATGTGTGCTGTGTATATTTATTATGTATATATAAATACA